TTCCTGGTAGTGACATGAAAATAACCCTTTAAGCTGGGCTCGGTGGCTCAACCTGTAATCCTGCACCTTGGGATTGCCCAAGCCCACGGGTTTGAGACCTGCATGGACAACTTGGCGAGACCTCATCTCTACAACAAATCAAAAAAAAAAATTAGCTGGACATGGTAGCACGCACCTGTGGTTCCAGCTACTTGGAAGACTGAGGCGGAAGGATCGCTGGAGCCCAGCAGGTCAAGGTTGCGGTGGCCAGGAGTGGCCACTGCAGTCTGGACGACAGAGTGATACTCTAACTCAAAAAAAAAAAAAAAAAAAGAAAAAGAAAAAAAAAGAAAATAACCCTTTCCTTACACTTTGCTAACATTTTATATGATCAGAACTCTTATTTTTTCCAATCTGATGTCTTTATTTTAATTTGTATTTAATTAATAATCAGTGAGATAGGACAGTTCTCATTTTATTATGCGTTTACAGTCCTTCTGTTAATTGTTGCTTATTCTACAGATGTTTTCCCTTAGGTCTTTGGTTTTCTTACTGAGTGTTTTTTTATGCTTTTTTAAAAAAACCATTTGTATTTCTCTTAGTGAAAATTCCTTGCTTATATGTACAGTCATTTTTATTAAACTGTTTGTGATTTTATTATTAATTTATAAATGTTTGAAAGTATTCTGGGTTCTCATCCTTTGAAACATATAGATCAAATTATTTTCAGTCTCTTTTCAGTTATTTATACCTAAAAAGTTTTTTTACAACTAGGATAACATTTTATGTACAATTTTATATTTTGTCTTTCTTCACTAAAAATGTATTTTCCCATATCATCAGAAATTCTTTAAAACCATAATTTTTTATGGCTAAATATGAGTTTATTGTGCAAATATAACATCATATTTTTCCTTTTTCATGTTAACATTCTTCTATTTTTGAACTCTAGTTTTTACATTTTTGCTATTGCAGATTTTTTGAAAATTTTACTGAAGATTGCTTTTCTGAATATCTTTGTATTTGGTTTCTGTGCATATTTCCATTTTTGATAAGATTATAAGAAAGAAATTCACTAACACAAATAGTATTAACTTTTAAAATTCATACATATTGCCAAATACTTTTCTGGAAATTTTATACGAGTTTATTTTTCTTCAAGCAGTGTACTAGCATGTCTTTTTCATAGAACTATCTTTTAATATACTTAGTTGTTAAATATATTTTAATAGCAGAATTTATTTTAAAGCAGAATTTATTGAGAGGACAGAAAAACTCCCACAGTGGGAGGAGACCTGAAGGGGTTGCCCTATTAAGTATATTTAAAATGTTGCTGGAGAAGAAATAATTTCTCACTGATATTATAATTTGTATTTAATCGATGATCAGCGAGATGGGACACTTCTCTTTTTATTAGCCATTTATAGTCCTTCTGATAACTCTTAGTTCTATAGATATTTTCTCTTAGGGCAGTGGTTTTCTTTATTTTTTAGATTAGAAAATATAGTTTATTTAGAAAGTAAATTAGAGAGAGAGAGAGAGAGAGGATTCATTTCCCCAAGGTAGGGGAGGGGGCCAAAGCTCAAAGAACACATGACCAGACCATAGCATAGCAAGGCAATGGCCAGAGCAGGGGTTTTCTTATTGGTTTGAGTAGGTTCTTTTGTGCATGTTAAGGTTTTGACTCTTTGTATTATTTCTGAAAATATTTTTCCGGTTTGCTTTCACTATAAATTCTGTTCACTCACGTTTGATGATGTAGTTTAAAATGTTGCTATTTGTGCTCTTTCTGATCCTCTGCCCTTGCTTTTATGCTTGAAAAAAATCTGCTATGATTTTAAGGTTCATGTCCCTCCCTTAATTCATATCTGGAAATCTTCATCCCCAAGATGATAGTGTTAGGAGTTGGGGCCTTTGGGACGTGATTAGGTCAGGAGGGTGAAGCCCTTGTGAATGGAATTAGAACCCTCCCGAGAGTGGCCCCAAAACCTCCCTTGACCCACCTACTACGTGAGAACATAATAAGGCTCCATCTCTGAGCAAGTAGGCCCTCATCAGACACCTTCATACTGGAGTTCCCAATCACTAGATTTGTGAAAAACAAATTTCGTTTTTTTATGGTATTTTGTTATAGCAGCCAGGCAGACAAAAGCAAAGCCCTTCTCATGATAAGCTCAAAATTATCATACTTTTTACAGTTTCATTTTTTTATATTCAATGCTTTAAGTCTATCTTAAATTTATTTTGGTTTATTTGATTTTTTAAGTTTATTTGTGTGTGTGTGTGTCCCCCTCTGCATGTCCCATTTCTGTGATCAGGGTCCCATGACTGGCTCTTCCCAGTAATTTAGACCTCAGAGATTGGCCCTACTTTGTTTGGTGCCAAATTGACTGGCCCTCCTTGTATTTGGTATCCCACTCATTGGCTCTTCTCTGTGTAATTTTAGTTTTTATTATGGTTTATAATGTGTAGTACAGCTCTGTCTTTCTTTTTGTAAGTAATTGAGAAAGAAAATATTGTTTGGTAATTAGCTTTACTATTTATTAAACAGTATTTTTTTCTCTACTATTTGTGATGTCTCTTTCTTCATGCAATAAATTATTCTTAAGATTAGAGACTAAAGGCTGTTTCTAGGGTTTCTACGGATCTTTCTGTTGATTTCCTGCATGAGTATCACATGGTTTTGAATTTTTTTTTCAAAGTAAGAATTTAATTAAGGATTTTAAAATGAAAAACAAATTAATACCTCTAAGTCACCAAAGGATCATTTAGATTAAGAAACTATCTGTATACTGTAAACTCCATGTCTGATCCAGAGTAGGCTTTTTTTTGAGTCAAAGTCTCTCTCTGTCACCCAGGTTGAAGTGCAGTGACACGCTCACAGCCACTGTAGCCTCAACCTGCTGGGTTCAGGGGCCTTTTGCTTCAACCTTTCAAGTAGCTGGGACTACAGATGTGCACTCCCACACCTGGCTAATTTTTAAAAAAAAAATTATTGTAGAGATGAGGTCTCGCCAAGTTGTCCAGGCTAATCTTGAACACCTGGGCTCGGGCAATCTTCTTGCCTCTGGCTCCAAAAGTGCTGGAATTACAGGTGTCAGCCACCACGCCCAGCCCAGAGAAGGTTTTCAATAAATATTAGCTGGTGAATAATCTTCAGTCTATTGGACTCTGAAAGTGATTTGGACTTAGCAGCCATCTTCTAAACTCAGTAATCAAAAGCACCCTTCTAATGTAGGCTCTGCTCCAGTGCCAAGGTATTGATATCTTAACATATAGTTTCTTTCACTCATAAATATTTGAAGAGGCCAATGCTTTTGGTACTGTTCTGCATTAGACTGTAACTTCCTAAAATGAAGAGCCATTTCTGAATTTTCTTGTCTGGCTCTTAATATTACATTCAATGGACACAATATTTTTTCATTGGAAGGATGAAACAATTGTATGACTATGTTTGTTTTTTTTTTTTAAAGAAAGATGTTAGTCATTGAAGGAAATGATCATATCCATTGGGGAACTCATTTTTCCAATGAATTGTATAAAACGGCATGCCATGCATGTGACAGGTTAAATCTCTCATAAGTTACCTATGTCCTCACATGGCTTCGTGTAAAAAATATGGCTGTGGTGGTGGGGGTGGAAAAGACCCTTCTGACTAACGAATGAGTCTGAACAGGATGTGATTATCGAATAAGAGATTCAGTTAAACTTTTGCTGTTTTTTTTTTTACCATCGTCATGGTTGTGTTTTGATTGGCAAACATTGACTGTAACCAAGAGCCCTGAAGGTTTTGTTTGGCATTTTGTGGATTGAATCACACTGGTCATGACAACACTTGTAATGTTAGGAATTATAAGATGACTTTGCCTTCATGAATATCTCAAATAGTAGTTGCTGGCAGTTGAGTGGTCTCTAGCAGCCATAAACGGATTTCATTGCTGAGTTCCCCGAGGCTACTTAGATATTCCAGTAAATCTTCCTTTCTGTTTCCTCTTTCAAATTCCTTCAAAAAATGCATTACTTTCTTGTATGTCTTTCACAAAGACCACAGGCCCTGGAAACTTCATACAGGCGGATGTAAGTATCTGTCCAAGCTAAGGGATAATTCTTGAAGAAAGCAGGTACATGGCATGCGTCTGATGGAAACAGGAGCAGAGGTTGCAGACTGCGACCCACAGTCCAGATCTGCCAAATCTGCTCTGAAGGTGTGTTTATTTGGCTCACATGTATTTCTTTTTCAAATATTTAATTCAGTTGCCAAACTACAAAAATTGGGATTGTTTACTTCAAAAAGTCTAGGTCTATGGCTTGTCTTGAAAGATTGAAATGATTTAGCGAGCCTGGGATCCTTATTTCTGCATCAGCAACCATCAGTGGAGCTGAGAACTGTTCCCTTCTGGATGGGACAGGGGTTGCCATGTCCCATTGTACTATCTCTAATCTCATGTGCTCATTTGATTCAACTTCATGACCCCATGAGAGATTGTGAGAACGAGAATAAAAGGCATAGTGAAGAATTATGAGAGACAGTCTTTTCCAATTTGATCACATGATCTCCTTGACAAACAAACGAGTCACTATTCAACAGATAAGAGAGGAGTTAGTCGATCACCTTTGTGGTCAGGAAACAAGAGTAATGAAAACTGTGCCCTAGTTACATAGGATGCAGCACTGATTCTCTTCTGGTAGTTCTTTGTTAACTCCATTGGTTCTGGGCAAAGGCCAAACAGCATCTGAGTTGAGTGAGAGGAAATGCTCTTCAGTGGCAAAGGCCAATTCTTGAATGCCAAATCTTACCACTATCCTGGGGGAGTGCATCATTGACTCCTGGGCTTTCTCCTGCCTCCTTTTGAACTTTGAGAATGAGAACCGAATGGTCTGAACATAATGTTTCTCTGGGTAGCATTTTTGACACATTTGGAATACAAAGAATGCTTCTGTCTTTATTCTTGCTTTGGCATCTGCACAGAAAAGATTGTTTAATACTCTTGTTTATATTTGTCTCTTTATTTGTCTTATATATGTATATCTTCTTTTTTTGTGGTGAGCTCTACCAGGAAAATCACGATCATCTTTTGGAAGTCCCGGCCACTCGAGAGCAATTAAACCACTACCGGAATGTGGCTGAAAATGCTCGAAGTGAACTTGCAGCAACTTTGGTCAAATTTGAGTGTGCTCAGTCTGAGGTAAGAGTATGTATTTTCATCACTCAGAAATGGACCTTCTTGGCAGCTTGTACAATTAAGCAGAGCACAGAGGTGATTAGAAACAGACAGAAAGGGGAGCCTTCTGAAACTGTTCTGTCTGATTCGAGAGCTCTCTAATAAAGAAATAGGACAGTGGGATACAGATTTAAACCTTTTGGCAAAGTTGATACTTAGTCTCTATGTATTTGCCATACCACAAAGCAAGATGACTGGAGCTGGATTCTAGATCTCAGAGGAGCTCTATAGCCTCGAGATATCTGGGGGCCCCTGGGGGCTGTGGTTTGGCGCTCCATGAGTATCGGAGAACTTTTAGTATCCCTCAGACTATCTTCCTTTACTGAGGATTGCTTGCAATTTGGAGCTCTTAGCGGGGGAGTTCTGAATCTCTTTCCTGTGGTCGGTCCAACTGGCTGGAAAAATTCTAGGAAGAGGATTGGGCTCTACCTACTAAGTCAGGTCTGTAATGAAGCTTCTGAAGGAGTCTCCCTGAATCATTCTGCTTGCAGCCTGGTGGCCCAGGGAGGCCTGGATTGGCCTGTGAATTCTCACTAAGGCTCACATGGGCCCACCAAAAGATGAACTGACAGTGTGTGCAAATGTGTGAATGAATTATGCATGCACACTCACAGTCCCAATGCTTTCATAAAGTTGTCTTATAGGGTAGAATTGACATTTTAACTCAATAGGGCAAATACATTGTTCAGTATTTCAATACCGCAGAACTCAAAAATGATAAATGTTTCCTTTGTATCAATCCTATAAGAATTTTCCTTTTCTCCCATGTATTCCCCAGACATTGTAATACTATTTTAATTTTTTATTTTATTATATATTTTTTTGAGTTGGAGTCTCACTCCATTGCCCGGGCTGGAGTGCAGTGGCATGGTCACGGCCACCCCAGCATTTACCTACTGGGCTCCAGCGATCTTTCTGCTTCAGCCTTCCAAGTAGCCGGAACTACAGATGTGCACTACAATGGCCAGCTAATTTTTGATTTATTTTAGAGACGAGATCTCGCCAAGTTGCTCAGGCCATCCACTCACTTTGGCCTCCCAAAGTGCTGGGATTACAGGCTGAGCCACCAAGCCTGGCTATATTATTTTTCTTTATCACTCACAGAGTCCAGAAGGCAAGTGGGAGTAATATGTGAATATTGGATAGTATGGATTTACTTGAGAAATATTTATGACTATGAAATCACAAATAATGGTGTTTCATTATTTATCAGCAGTAATAGCAGCAATATTGACTTAGAAAATAGGTTACTGGCTGAGCGCAGTGGCTCAAGCCTGTAATCCCAGCACTTTGGGAGGTTGAGGCAAGAGGATTGCCTGAGTCCAGGGGTTCGAGACCAGCCTGGGCAACTTGGTGAGAC